GTGAGGTGGTATCTCATTGTGGTTTTAATTTGCATTTCCCTAATGATTAGTGATGTTGAACACTTTTTCATATGCCTGTTGGCCATCTGTATGTCCTCTTTGTTGAAACGTCTCTTCATATCCGCTGCCCATTTTTTAATTGGGTTGTTTGTTTTTTTGGTGTTGAGTTGCATGAGCATTTTATATCAAATATATCCTTTAAAATGTTTATTTCACATGTACTCAATAAAAAGTAACTGTGGGTACCCTGATGCGAATTCATGGCTGTGTAACATAACCTGTCTGAGCCTCAGCTCCTCATCTGTAAAAATGAATATAAAAATGCCTGTCTCGACAGAGTTTAGGAAGATCAATCTAGTGTAGCACAAAGTGCCTCATACATTGTAAAGCTTTATACAATTCAAAGGTAATATTGCTGCCCCTACTAAGTGGTCACCTGCCTATGCTTAAATATCGCCAAAATAGGGACTTGACTCATTTCTAACACATTCCATGCCATCACAAACAACTACTGGAACATACTTATTGAACCAAAATTTCCCACCTGTTAACTTTGCCCATTTCTTCCCGATCTAGTTCTAGGGTCTCACAGAATAAATAAAATCCATCTTACACCTGAAAGCTCTTCAGTATTCCTGATTCTTCTCTTATTGAAACTAAATGTTTCCCCAGTTCCTTCACATATTCCTCACATTATCTGGTTTCAAACCCTCCATCCTGGTCTCTCAACACTCCAGTCCCACACTTCAGTTTGTCCAAACTGCTCTTGAAGTGTCGTGGCTAAGGCTGAATGTAGGTGTTGATTCTTATTAGGTTCTTTGTTTGCAAGGAGCAGAGGTCATTCAGGTTGCCTGGAGTAACTGAAAACATCTTTTTAAGTACTATATGGTCAGTTCCTGGGAACCAAAGTGAGATTGGTCAACCCCCACAGAAAGGTAAGGTCTATAGATCTCTGGCAGTAATATGACTCAGCAAGCCATTATTGTCCCTCTCTGTCTCTTTCTTTGTCCAATAGTGTATCATCAGCTTAATATTTATTTTACCTACCACATAATTTCTACTTTCTCATAATAATGACTGGTTTCCAGAGTACCACAAGACTCCAAGTGTACCACTTGGCACCTCTTACCTCATCCCTTCAGCTCATATTTCATTGCTAACTGCCTAATTCTTTTGTTAGCTGTAGGTTCTGAAGGGGAGAAAAAAATTGTTTTTCTTCTACCCTTATAGGCTATTGGCTGAGACTACCCTACAATAAAAGATTACAGGGAAAAAAAACAAACACAATTTAATAATATGTATACCTCCTGTATACATGGGAGAGACCTAGAAAACTAAATAACTTATCAAAATGGCACAAGCCATCACCTTAAATACCATCTCCAGCTGAAGACAAAAGAAAGATATTGTGAGCTGAGCGGGGAGACACTTATGGGAGATTACCAGGAAAAGCACAGTGAAAAAGGGTAAGGTTATTATACATTTTCCATGGTTAAGGAAGTCTGGAGATTGAGTCATCCTTCTTCTCCTGATACAGAGGTGGTGACATGCTTACAAATGGATATTTCCCTTATAAATGTAAATGTCTCTTACAAAAGGTAACTTCTGAGCTTCTCATGTGTCTGCTGTTTCTTCAAAATAATCACCCAAAATAATCTACCTGCCAAAGAGACATATTTTGGGGTGGCAAATTCTGTTCCCCTTCAGTTCAGAAACCTAAGAGAGGGAATTTGATTATCCCAGTTCATCCCTTCTGTTCCAAGCTGAATTTAAGTTTCTTGGCAAGCCCTGTCAGTTATTGGGTTGTCGGAAAAGTCATGACACATTTTTGCAGCGAAAAACAGAGAAAAAATACATCATGACTTTTCCAACAACCCAATATTTTCTCAGTCAGCCGAGGCCAAGGGGAGAGAAAGGTCATGTGATTTTTAAAAATTACCACCATGGCCATTTACTGCTGCCCTGTGAGATAAGTCTGGGAGCAAACCTGAAGTGCCTTAGATGGAATTATTTGCAATCATCCTGTTTGACTGACTCATTTAGGAATGACCAACAATCAGTTTTCTCCCTCTTTGTAACTAAATATTTTTTTAATGCTCTCCACTTCACGATCAGCTTTTTTGGTGGCCATATAACACTACTGATACGTATTGAGAACACTTAGTAACTAAAGTCTTAAAACTGTTTAACAAGTTCGAAGGCTAAGCCAAATTTCATTATTTCATAATTATATAGTTAAAGCTTTTATAAATTGTGTGTTTGGGATGTGGACGTACAGCTGGAAATATGTTTAGAGGCTTGATTTGGCCTAATTAGATTTCATTTCATTAGCCTGTG